GTGACGGCATCAGTGACCGAATTTGTTGAAGACGAAATTACAAAAGATATCGAAGCGGTCAGAGCCAAAGAACAGCAACGCGAGCGATACAGCTCGCCCGGGTCGGGTCCGGACTCTCTCACCGTGCAAGATGCTGGAGGTGCTGTCGCTGGCAATGGCGATGGCGATGACGCAGAGACAATGCTAAAATCGCTCGAGCCACGGTCGGACAAAATTGACAGGGGAGACCTGGAGGCTGAAGCTAGTAGCGACGGGCCGGACAACGCAGGCAAGCTGGCAGAACGAGAGACAGCAACGCACTTGGACGAATTCGCTGCCGCAGCGGATGTAGCGACAGACACAAAGTCGCCCACGCCGGTCGATGAGACACCCGAAGAGTTGGCAGCTCATCGGCAGCGAGACATTGAGTTTGGAAATTCGCTTCAATGGCAAGCCAGGACTCCTCCGTACATTGAGGAAGACGACGAGCCCCACATCGACTTGACTGGCTCGCCAGAGCTTGCACCGCCGCCGTTTCCCGGTGATCCTGAGGACTTCGAGTTTGACCAATCTATTCCGGCCACTGTCGAGCCTCACGACGTTCCAGGCTATGTGCAACCTGTGACGATGAATGTCGACGCACCTGAAGCCACAGTGGCACCGATCGCCGCAGATCTCGACGTTATCGCGCCTGTTGATGAACCTCAAGAGTCACAAGTCGACAAGATGCCGAACGCGCCCGTGTCGGAATCGCCGGAGGCCTCGACGACGCCGCTGGAAGAACCGCCGGAAGAGTTGACGACGACGCCACAGGCAGAACCACCTGAAATATCTACGACGCCGGTCGGCGAGCCGTCTTCGCCATCGTACGCCTGGCCCGCCGATGTCAAGGCCGTTGAGGACGAGCAGGAGGATCAGAGGCACGGTGACGAAACAAAGGTTGAAGCGCGGGCGCTTGAGGCGAAGAGTCCACAAGGACCGGAAGAACGTGTTTCTGCATCAAGCGACAGGGATGAGCTGATGGAGTACGAAGAGGCGGAAAGCCCAGCAAACGTCAAGGCTCAAGATGACCTGCGTCCTCGGCAACAAGCGACTCTTCGAAACGCAGACGTACAAAGCGAACCGACTGCCCAGATGCCGGCCTCCCCTAGTGGATCGCAACAGGCTGATGGTGCGCTTTCACCCAAGCCGACACGAAGTCCCGCCAAATCGCATGCCACTTCGGCTTCGCCGGTCCGGCGCAGCAAGCGACTTCAACCAGACAGTGAAGCGCCTGAATTTCATGACTCTGAGGAAGAGGAGGACGATCACGAGGTACAGGACAGTCTGGTGCCATCAGCCCAGCGCAGAAAATCAGTCTTTGAGCACCACTCTCACACTTCTGGTGCCCAAGTCGCTCAAGTCGCGAAACTTGGCCCAGGCATTGATCCGCCGCGCTCGCCTCGGAAACGTGCTGCAACGCCCGAGGTCGGCAAGAGTGCGCCACGCAAGTCGGCGCGGCTGCAAGACGCCGCGTCGTCGCCTCGGCAACAAATACATCAGCATGGACCAGGTCATACTCATCGGCACAAACGGGCCAAGCCCGGTAAAGGACCGTTGACGCGAAACAATTGCAGCAATATAAAACTCAAAATACGGTCGCTCGACCATGGCGGGAAGACATACGTCTTTTCAGTGCCGTCCGTGAGTGCCGTGTCTATTGCACATCGTCAGACAATGACTTTTCGTCACAGTGTGCTTTGAATGCGCAAATGGAGATTGGTCAAAAAGCCATAGAGACATGGAAGCCTGAAGTCCTCGGACCGGACGATGGAGAGCAGGAAGGCCAAGTCGTCGGCGGCGGCGGCATCGGCGGCGAGGTCGCTCTCGAAGACGACGGCGCAGACGTTGTTCCAGATGCTGACGTACGGGATGCACTGCGTCGCATCGCAGGCGCCGACCTTTGGCACGAGGGAGCGATCGAACTTTTGGAGATTATGCCGCGTGGTAGGCGATAATCAGTTTGCACACATTGTCGTTGCTGTGTCGAGTTTGCTGCACAATGCTGTCCACTTGACCCTGAAGCAGTTGTTCGGATTTCTGAAGTTTCTGCTGTGGATGGTAGTTGACCTTCTCGTCGCTCTACAGAGGCAACCGGGGGCAGCGGGAAACAGAGTGAACATGCTATTGGCCTGAATACTGACGAGCTACAGTGCATCACGTTTGCGCACATATATGTGTTTGCAGAACAGTGGTCTCAACTCGTTTTCCGGCCAAAGCTTTCCCAGATGATCTGCTGTGTGATGTACAGAAATGAGAACGAAAAAGAAGATTACGAGCTCTCTGTGGGGCGTAGGGAAGCTCACATTGGCCCTCAACTGATAATGTATACATTGCATCGATAGTATGCGCCCGCTACGCTTCATCCCATATCGGCAGATTTCCGCAACGTACGGCCATCCAACGTTGAGAAAGAAAGTCTTGATTGATGCTGCAATGACTGACAAGTAGGCGATTTCCGTGGACCGTCAAATGAGCAGCACTGACGCAGCTGCTCTCCACAGCATCCTACACAAGGAGGCGGGTCAGAAAGTGATCGCGAGGTTCAGTGATCTGGCAGAACAGACCACAGCTTGCCCGATACTGCTGCCAATGAATTTTGATTTGGCTGGCGAAACATCGCTCGATCGCGCCGTCGGTTCATTAATCAAAGATTCGGTATCATTCTAAGTGGCATTCAAAAGCCTCATAAATGCAAGGCCAGCGTCGAGTCAAAGTACCGAAGCAGCTGCTCCCCATGCAAGGACGTGGCATCAGCAAGGAAATGGCACCGGAATGGAAGGCGTACATTCAAGAGCACACACGGATCAAGGCCGTCAACTGGCAAGTTTCCATGGTGACGACGCAATCACATGCTTTTGCACGGATGCAGTTGCAAATGCAATTACTGCGGAACTTGGCAGGAGAGCGCGTGCCTGGTGGCGAGGAGCTTGTTGTCGAGCTTGAGCCCGACAAGGTCCTCAGTGTTCTGAGCCATGTCGCTCAAGCCAGATAACCAGGCGACATCAAACCTTTCAATAGCATGTCTGCCCAACCCGCCCGAGGTTGCACATTTCTGACAATGGATTCAGAACAGCAAAAGACCAAAAATTACGCAAATATACGCTCATAGCGACAGTTTCAAGCTTGAGCCACCCGTCCTCGCCCTTGCCTCAGTCGCCCTTCTTGTTTTTCCTGTTCTGACATGTGCGACACGTTGCTCCAAATCCCGTTGGACAGGCTTTTTTGCAGCCGTCAGTTCTGCAGACCCGGGGTTCTCTCGTCTGCCGCGTCTCAGAATCTGCATAGTGTTCCGAAGAGCACCAAGCGTGTTTTGACGTACGCAACTTGACGCATCCTGGCAACTTGCACGGATCGCCCTTCTTCTCCCTCTTTGCTGCGGCGGCATAGCACCCCGAGCAACGTTGACCTCTGCGGGTGTCGGAGAGCTGCTTGCCGCATTGACAGCAGAGTCTGAGCTGCACGACGTTAGATACAGGTGCGAGACCCTTATCCGCTAGCCATAAGTCCGTGTTTGAAGCTGCCTTGCGCTTCGTCGATTTGTGTATTTGGTGTGTGTGCTTGCGGCATGTGCAGATGCGGAATTCGGGGCAAACATCTTGGCTTGCTGGACACGCGCTCTTCTACCGCGTTTTGCAGTGATCGCACATGCAATTACAGCCGTCTTGGTGGCCCGTCTTGGCTTGTCGAGAGGGAGTGTTGAAGGTGACGACGGCCACCAAGACGGCTGTAACTGCAAATGCGAGTACTGCAAAACGTGGCAGGAAAGCGCGTGTCCAGCAAGCCAAGATGTTTGCCTCGAATTCTGTATCTGCACATGCCGCAAACACACACACGAAATACAGAAATCGACGAAGCGCAAGGCTGCTCCAAACACAGACTCATCGCTAGTCGGTCGAGGTCTCGCACCTGTATCCAACGTCGTGCAGCTCAGACTCTGCTGTCAATGCGGCAAGCAGCTCTCCGACACCCGCAGAGGTCAACGTTGCTCGGGGTGCTATGCCGCCGCAGCAAAGAGGGAGAAGAAGGGCGATCCGTGCAAGTTGCCAGGATGCGACAAATTGCGCATGTCCAAACACGCCTGGTGCTCTTCGGAACATTATGTCGAGTCTGAGACGCGGCAGGGGAGGGCACCCCGCTTCTGCATAACTGACGGCTGCAAAAAAGCCTGCCCGACGGGATTTGGGGCAACGTGTCGCACGTGTCAGAACAGAAAAACCAAGAAAGGCGGGTGAGGCAATGGCGAGGACGGATGGCATAGGCTTGAGACCGTGGGTATGAGCGTGTAGTTGCGTATTTTTGTTCTTTTGCTGTTCTGCATTCTTTGTAAGAAATGTGCAACCTCGAGTGTGTAGGGCAGACATGCTTGTGAAAGGTTTGACGTCGGCTGCTCAAGCCGAAGGGCTCGACAGGCGCCCTTAGAACCCCTTCCATCGCTCTACCGCGACTGAAAGAAGGCGAGTTTCGAGTGAGTACAAGCGAAGAGCGTCAGAGAAGGCCAGGCGCTGTAGACGGGTTACGAGCGAAGGCGCGAGGCGTTTCTCCGCGAACGTCGAAGTGGGAGACAGGAGTCTCTACTAGCGATGATCGACAAAGTGCAAGACGAAGTGACGAGGTGAGGGCGGATGGAGTCTGCAAAAAACTGCGAGAGCTGGGTAGAGGCGAGACTATAAGAGGCGCGAGGATGCCGAGGCTGAACAAGCGGGGGGAGGCAAGCGGGGGAAGGCAAGCGGAGGCCCACATAAGCACTCTGAGATTCGATGCGATGCGTTTTAGCGCCGAGGCTGAGTAACGTAGTTGAAGGCCGAGCTATGGAGGCGGGAGCGAGCGAGCGAGAGCCAATGACGCAATCGAGGCCGAGGTGGGGCCGGAGTCGAATAAGTCAATGGCGCCGACACCGCGACAAAAAAAAATAGAGCATGAAGTAGGGTTTACTGCAAGGCCTCGTTTTTTCAGTACCCAAAAAAAGAGCATACCGAAGATGAGGAGAGTGGGGTTCGAACCCACGCCCTTTCGGACTAGAGTTTCGGTAATACCTAAATCTAGCGCCTTAGACCACTCGGCCATCTCCCCCAAGAACTTTGTCTCGCAAAATAGTTCTATATGAGGATGTAACAGACTTTTTGGTCCGCCGACGGGTATTGGGTCTCAGAACACGTTCCATCCGCCTTTTACTGATGGAACCCGGAAATCCGGTACACTACTCCGTACTATTCCAATCTTTCTCAT